CCGCCCCCCCCCCCCCCCCTGGTGATATGTGGGAGTGTACAGGTACAATGAGAGCATGCTGGGACATGTCGTAATTGAACTACAAGATCCAGCATGCCCTCATTGTCCCTGTACGCCCGCCAAATATGACCCAGGGAATAGTAACAAGCTGATTGGCAGGCTCATGTCCTTCTATGTAGTGGAGCCCGTGTCCCTGTAGGGAAGGAGCCTGCCAATCAACTGGTTATCATGGCAAGTGGGCCGTGATTTTTAAACTTTTTAATCACCTTTTTATTTAAATTTAATACTTTTTTCTTATTATTTTTTACTTATTTTTTTAAAATGTTATTTATTTAATTTTTTTAAACAATTTTTTTCTCACTTAACACTATCACACAGGAACTAACAATCCCCTGTGTGATAGCATTTGGAGGTGACAGGTTCTCTTTATTTAACCTGTCACCTCCAATACATGAGAACTTCTGTGACAGGTGAGAGGGGAAGATGGCTCTCCCCTCTCATTGGTTATCACGGAGCGGCAGGGTTACTGTAGGTATTGATAATTTGAGTCTTTTTACGTTGGTACTGCTTCTGCTAGTCATAAAACATCCATCTTTGGTCATTAGGCTTAGCAGAACAAGGCTGAATCCATTGTTCTTACTTTTCAGATTCATAATTCATATGAATTTGCGTTTACAGATCGTGATTGCCAAAATCCTACCTGTGTTAATTAGATGTGATGCAGCAGCCAAACCCTTTTATATAAATGGATAGGCTAGTAGGGTGGCAACTCTACTGTAACCTCAAAGTCTGACGTTGGGATCCACGATAAGGTCTGGAAAATATCTGAGGTGTCCCATCCATATTGGGTGTATGATCCATGTGAGTTCTATCCAACCCCAGAAGCAGGAGAAAAACGTTTTTCCTGTAAGTTTGTTTATCCATTTTATATTAATACTCTTTGTCTATGTGTGTCTGACTTTTTAACTTATGTTTTTTGTAACGTTTTGTGACTTTCTATGCATTGCCCACCTAGCGATATTAAATATAAAATTAATAATCTGATTTTGATTGCTATAAAGGACATACAAATGTAATTTATATATTTTAGTCATGACTTGAAAACTGTATTTCCTTTTATATACATTTGTACCTTTTTAAGTGACACTTTACTTTTTATCTTATCAGAAAATAGAAAATTGAAACATTATCCATGTTAATACATTACCATCTGAATCATGACATGGAAAAACAGTGTTATTTAAATATTACTGAGAAAACTGAAAATGCACAGTGGATATGGTGGAAAATATGAGAAAGGTGGAATTGGTATTTTGGAGCGCTAATATTGGAAATAACTTATCTTACCTCTTTCTGATGGTACTTTATTGCTACCTTAAGCTTTGCCAGGTCATGACTCTTTTGAGGATCCAGCTCCTCGCTCTGGTCATCCCTGTGGTTAAGTATAATTTCCAGTTCTCGTGAGCTCCGTGCTTGGTCAAGCAGGTCCTTGGCAAATCTTTTGCATTGCTGAGACAGTTCCTCATACTCCGCCTTAAACTCATTCTCCACTTTGCTAAGTTCTTTCAATTCCCATCCGAGGCGAAAGGCTGTCAGAATGGGGTCTTCGCTGGATAAGGCAATCAAAGATGGACTGGCCAGAGCCTTGTAGATGTTGAGTCTCGACCTAGAGTGTCTGAGGCTGTCCACTTCCGAGCTGGAAACACATTCCACACAGTTGCAACGTATCTGGTGTGGGCGAGGTATAGTCACCCTTCTTTGGACTAAGAGTTTTATAATTTCATAGTTATTAGTGTGAGCTGCCAGCATAATAGGTGTTATGTCTGGTGTGAACTCTGAAAACTGGGTGTCCATCATCAAAGTGGGTACCTAAAGAGAGAAAACACTTTAAGTTCTCACTATAATTTTTGCAATGAAACATTGGTTTCAATGGATATGTACAGACAGTTCAAGGACTTCCAAACACATATAAAACAAAACACCAGTAATATAATCTATGTATCTGTTAAACAAATAATTACAAGTATTTTAATGCTGAGATCTTTATGCTTTAGGAGCACCAGTACACAAGACAGTCTATGTCTACTGTATTAGTTACAGGGTTATCACAAAATGGTGAAAAGTTTGGAGAAGGCAGGAGAAGTGAACAATCTAGGCCAAAATAGCTGATTTGGAAAAATTCTCCAACTCAGCTCACCTTCCAGTTCAGCTATGTTGTCCTAGATTGTTCACTTCTCCTGCCTTCTCCAAACTCTTCACCCTTTTGTGAATAACCCTGTTAGTGTTATCATTGTATGTGTCTCCAGGCACTAGATGCTATTTAGGCAGTGTGTAGGAAGAGGGGGGTAGTGAGGATCTCAGCAGTGTGCTTATCCCTATCCATAGTTCAGTAAGCAGGCAGGCAACATAGGAACCTGCGGTGGTGTCATCCTTCCATCTATGCACCATGATGACAATTACAAATACATTATTAGGCAAAACAATTGAGGTAAATGCATTCAATTTTTTTTACTGTTTCTTTATTTTTATCACTTTTTATTATTTTATTCAATTATTTCTTCTTATTTTTTTTAATTTTTAATTATTTAGTATTTTCTTATTTTTTTACTTTTTAATCACCTTTTTATTTTTTTATTTAATTATTTAATATTATTTTTTTTTACATTTGTATTTAAATTTTTTTTTTAAATCAATGTCATTTTTTCCCCCCATCTAACTTTATTGCTATCACACAGGAGATAACAAGCCCCTGTGTGATAGCAAGGTAGACAGCTACTTCCTCCGGCGTCAATCCACATTAACAGGACAGGACGATGTGATGCACACTACGGTCCGCCGCCGGGACACCTTACACCGGCTCCCGCAACTTCCCCACAAGGTCACCGCTGCCACCCTTCTGCGCTCTGCCGCCCTGAGGCCGGGCCTCGGTGGCCTTGTGGGAAATCCGGGCCTGGGTAAATGACCATCACTTCTGTTTTTAGCAGGCTTAGAGATCCACTTTAAGACACATGAATGCTAAACTGCCAACTGATCAAAAGCAGACCTGAGTATCTTTAACCAGAGGAACAGTTTAAAATGAAAGAACACATTGTCATCACAGGTGTACTCTGGTTAAACATGAAATGTAGCATTTTGACACGTACGGGAAACAGAATCAGCTTGTCCAGTTACCTTCATTTTCAGCATTACTTGTGTACCAGACTTACCCTACTGTTCAAAATAGTATTGTTTCTAGTTACCTGGTGTCTGGAACCCAGTTTTTGCAGTAGAAGAAAAGACAACATATAAACAGCATGTCAAATGGTACCTCTCTAATAGCTTTTTCACTCTCTGCAACTCTCTGTAATACCTTTACCTTGTTTTCTCTGCAGTCACATGACCACTAACACTCCTTTTTTGTCCTTCCACTGGTGAGCACAGGGCTGATATTTCAAAGGGTAGTGAAGTCAAGACTGGAAGTGACCTTGCCTTCTCGGACTTCACTTAAATGCACTCAGCATTATTGAAGCATAGACGACACAGCAGTGCAATAGAGCAGTGTTTTTAAACCTTTTTTGTGCAAAGGCACACTTTTTTCATGAAAAAAATCACGAGGCACACCACCATTAGAAAATGTTAAAAAAAATGTTACCTCTGTGCCTATATTGACTATATATAAAGTAATTCTCTTGAATAGGAATCAAATAAACACAAAGAAATTATTTTATAATTACTTTATTATGAAATAATAAAGTATTTTATAATTGTTCATATTTCTGTTCAATCCATGACTTAACTTCACACTTCACACAAATACGTTTTAAATTCAAACTGTAGCACTGACGTAGCCCTGGTTAAAGTAGGGTTCAGTGGGGTCTCACTAGTCTTGGTTAAACCCCGCAGAGCCCTGGTGAGACCCTACCAAGCCCTGCTTTAACCAAGGCTCTGTAGGGTCTCACCAGAGCTATGTGGGGGTCTCACCAGTCTGGTGAGACCCCTCAGAGCTCTGGTGAGACCCCACAGAGCCCTGGTTAAAGTAGGGTTCAGTGGGGTCTCACCAGGGCTCTTTGGGGGTGAGGAGTCCGGTGACGTCAATGTCCGTGACGTCACCGGATCTCCGACGGAAGACCCGGAAGCCGGTGGAGAGGTGAGTAACTTTGATCGATCAAAATAATTTTGATCGATCAAAGAAATTAACGATTAATCGACGGCACACCAGACAATATCTCACGGCACACTAGTGTGCCGCGGCACAGTGGTTGAAAAACGCTGCAATAGAGGACATGAAAATATGCACATATAATGAAGAAATATATAATATAATAAAGAAATGCAACTTCCAGGTGCCTACAACATGCAGGGGAGGTGGGGGGCATGGGAGTTCAGCCATTTTAATAGTGGTTGAATTAGCGATGTTAGCACATTTTTTTGTGAGTTATCTCCAATCCACAAAAGTCGCAGCAAAGACAGACCAACTCACAGGGGCAATGGGAGGATATTCCTAAAGCTTGCCCATTGTAACATTCTTTCTCCTTGCTTCCTGGACCGTTAATAAAATTCAAACTTTCAAAACAGATTTATATGCAATTGGTGATTGTGAGTCATAGAGAGTGGGAGTAATAAAGGTTTTTAGCAACACCAGCGGATGTGTTCCAGGATCACCAGATTATAGATAAAAGTCCCTTGTACCTTTACTATAAACATGAACACCGTAAGGCAGGGGTGACATACTCCAGCCCTCTAGCTATGCTTTAACTACAAATTCCATCATGCCTCTGCCTCTGGGAGTCATGACTGTAACTGTCAGTCTTGCATTGTCTCATGGGACTTGTAGTTCCACAACAGCTTGAGTGCCGGAGTTGCCCACCCCTGCCCTAGGGTCATACCATTACCGTGTACACCGTTAAACTTTAGGAATTATTTCAATACCCTTGTATTGAGGAATCCTTCATATTGTATGCAGAAATGTGCGCTGCACTAGGATGTGCTGCCAAGGGTCTTCAAAAGTGCTGTGTTGCATTTTGAAAGAATCCAATTGAATTAACTTGAATAGGATCCACAGGGCAATGCTTTCAAAGTCATCATGTCAGAACTTCCTGCATTGTACTGCAATGCAGTATATGAAGTATATGAAAATGTGCTCCATTAAAATGCATTGGTTTCTGCATTCCCCTGCATTTTGCCTGCAGTGCACAATGCAGAGTAATGCGACCAGCGAGAACGAGCCCTGAAGAGATTTAGATTTTGTTTTTCCAATGTCTTAGCATATAATCTTGCCTCTCTATGAATTATGTATTGATGAATGGGACAGCACAGTAGAACTTTCTGCTTCCATAGAATATAACCCTTCAGGTTACTTAAACAGATTATACACAATTTCATTTTGTGAGAAAAAATAGAAGAGAGACTATAGCAATATAAAGCTGATGAGGGAACCATAAATTATTCCTTATATATTAGCGTATTTTTACATCCAAGTATTTATTTTTCAAACGCAGAGTGAATTTCTTGGCTGTGGTCTTTTACGTTCTTGTGCTATTGTCTTAGGACATTCCTGTCACTGACAACCGCTTCCCGTTGACAGCAAGAGAGCTGATACAAATCTGACAATCTGCTAAAAGAACTGTATCTAGAAATGCAGCCTGAATGAAACATTCACTGATTATTGAATTATTTAATTTCTCATTTATCAGAATACGCCCCCAAATTTCACATAGATGTTTTTGGAAGGAAAAGGTTTCTTGCACTTCTCTTTATTTAAAATATGTATTTATTTAATTACAGCATATGAAACACAACTGTCCCCAATTTTCAAAGACTAGTTACAGTTTTAAACGTTCCCTTATCAATGGATTTTCCTGTTTGTAGTACAATTATGATATACTTACCCAACAGGATTCCGAGCATTGCCTTCAAGTATATCTAAACCCCAAAACAAAAATTGAATAGTTATCACAGCTCACCAGTCCTTAAATGTGGTGGCTGCATTCGTTTTCTTTTTTCAAGTACATTTCTGCAAATACAGAAAAATACCAGTTGATCCTTATAGAAATCCAGTATTTCTATAACTCACATCTCAAACATTGTTATCAACTTTCTAACACCTTTCTAAGAACACCCACTGCAAAATGACAGATCGGGGCTGCGTGTAAACAAATGAGCAGTGATTTTACGACTCGCTCCACCCATTTGTTTTCATTCCATGACAGCTCACTGTCCTTAAGTGGCATACAAACAAATGGGTTTAGTGAGTCCCATGACATCACACGACGTCTCTGCCCATTTGTTTACATTCAGCCCTGATCTGTCATTTTGAGGCGGTTCCTCGGTGGTAGCAGACAGGTCGGCGGGTGGCAAGATTTTGGGCGTTGTTAATCATGATTGACAAGGATCTACATTGCTGATCGACTGTTGTTTTTTGTTTTTGCAATAATAAAGAACATGTCAACTGACTTCTGTTTTATGTTTAGTTAAAGGACTTTTTCAAGGTGTGGTGTCTTTATTTAATTTGTGTGTACTTTTTGGTTCACAAGGGGGGAGGGGCAGCATCTGGGTGCTGTGCTCCCTTTATGACAAATACTTAAATGTTTACCAACATCTTTGAATTACATTATTTTATGTATTTGCAAAATGAAAAAAGGTTTTTCATTCTTAGCACTGCACAGAATCCAGATTTTTTAAAAATGCAATAAACACGAACAAAATTTACTAAATTGAGCATTTCTGAAAATAGAAAATACTGTCTTAGAATTATGACATTTATTGAATCTGGAGCACAGTGTATTTTGGAATTAGTGAGCATACTTTAAATTAAAAATAATTAAATTGGGTCAGACAAATCCAGTGAACAACTAATGGTAAGTGCCTTCATTACCAGGCGGTGATGTAGA